CTGACGCGCGCGCGCCAGCCTGTCGTCAACTTGTCAAAAAGCGTTCAATAGGAGGTATTCAATGCTCTGGGATATAACTACATAAATGCCATGCTTTATAAAATGGGTGGCTGCTTTGCTGTTTACACATTCACAAATTTACATTTTTTTCCAATGTTATATTTGTTAACAAACTTAGTTGATCATTAAGAACTCGACACTTGGCTTTCAATGCGGGTACTACTTTTGGCGGCCATGTTTCTATAATTCTGATTGATCCTGGTTCAGGATGCGCTTTAACGTCAGTGGTCGTTACCAGGCTTTCGAGAACATCACTGTCACGAAGCTGGTGGGTATGGCAGCATTTTCCCAACTGCTAGTAATGACTACCTACTCAGCTGCTATGTACGTGATCCGAACCCGAGGTGGTGGACTTCCAGATGTCCTCAAGCAGAATATACGCATATGGTTTTATGTAAGTCGAAATACACTTTTATAATCGTTTTATTTAAGCGGACGTGAGCAACACTTGTAATAAAGATCTCGGAAGCGCAAACAATCTGCTAGCGGTTGCAATGCGGAGTCCGTAGAAATAAGCAAGTCACGTTTTCTGCGAGTGGATTTCATGTTCAGTCTTCTTGAAACCTGGCCATATTGAAAATATTGCTCGAAATTGTTCTGCTATAAAGGTTGTTACAACACGTCGTCTTCAAAACCTGAAGTCGGCTCGAATTTTTCAGCCCTAACTTGGCTGATCAAGCCCCCACGGATAGGGAAAACGGGAGAGATAGTGCAGAGATCCACGTATGCCGTGGTTGATAAGGATGGCAGCACGGCAGCACACAAGCAAGGCCTTAGCGCCGTTGCCTCGCACTTTTGAGTCGCGACAGTGTCGTGCCTCCTGCCCTTGGGAACCCCTCTTTCTCACTCTAGAAGGGACTGGCTCTTGGGACCTAATCCAACTCGTGGCTTTGAGCTATCTATCATGTGGAACCGCCAAGACCAGTATGGACAGTTTGCCGCTGCCGGGCACGTTCGCAACTTTGAAACCTCACGTCTTGGTGTCCTTTCCCTACTGGCCTTTTTAAGAATGTGATGAGCACATCCCACTGATCATAATGGGTGCCTAGTTGCAATTTTTTGGCGCTATCGCAAGATACGGGGGATTATGGTGACAACGCATTTAAAATCACGTAAAACATCTCATTCTCTGATAAAAACAGGACTAGCTTGTATGCGGAGAGGATAGACTTCTGAGTGCGTGAGCAGTTCTCACTTTGCCCAAAGTCGCTGCCCCTCCTACGCGGAGTCTTAGAGGATGCCCCCGTATCTTGCGATAGAGCCTTCTTTCGCTTCTTTCGCTAACAGAACTGCGAAACGATTAGATGGTCTGATTTTCAGCTGGTCCCGATGGCGACGTTCATTGTGCCGTTGGTGTTGCTGTGCGGTCTTCGCGTCGTTTCCCAACAACGTCACACGAATATCGTGCGACTAACGAAGGAGAAGTGCGATCAGTCTGCTTACATGACTAGACTCACACAAATGTGGCAATGATAGCAGCAGCTCTACCTATTTATGTATGGAAATGTGGAATTCGTTCAGAAAGATTCCTTTGACCATTGCCAACTGATTCTGTCTCAACTTTCTAACATTCTTGATATCTTCATGCCAGCGATTACTGTAGGCTGTGGGGGCTTAAAGCAAAGGGGGGACGCGAAGTGCTCATTGGTCTCATTCATGGCAAAGATAAAAAGTAGAAGAATAACATCAGGCAAAACAAAGCGTGAACCTCCTTGTTTTCCCCGCTGATCCACTCGAGGAGGCGGCAGCGGCTAGACGGCGAGTTTAACCGTTTTGGTGTTAATATCTCTAATGCTGCTCACTGCAGCCAACACATCTCGCCCAAATCACAGGAAGCGTTCGAGCGAGGGTCGACAGTTGCAGGTTCGTAAAGGATTAACCCCAATAGTGCAATTCAGGCAACGAAGCTCGCATGAGTGAAGGTGCGTACCCCAATCCCCTCTTTGTTTCTTCCTACTAGTCGGGGTTATCCCAGGGTTTGCCTCTAAGGGGCTGAGTGATTTTCAAGCATTGCTCAGCACCAGCACACTTTCGTCTGTGAGAGCTTAACATCTCTTTAATGCAGGCCAAGCCACTGGCTCGCATGTACTTCCGCGCCGCTCCTGCTTTTCATAATTTCCCCGCTTTACTTCAAGGATTCTGATGGCTATAGAGCCATTCAAGCTGGCACGACAGTACGGACTCTAAGTCGCCGAAAGTCAGTCCTTTAACTAACTGATTAGAATCGAATTTTTCGAAAGATGATAGCAATTACAGTGTACTACCGAGTCCTACTTTGTTTCATTCGCTGATTTATAAAACAATAATTTATTGATGTGAGAGTATACATATTTGAATGAAAACATATGTGAAAGACTGTTGGATGCAGAAATACTTTCAGCTCTTGAAAAGAAGGTTTTGTCGTAATATGAAAAGACGAGCGAAGAGAAACGTAGCATCCTCCTCGGTATCGATTCGAAGCAATTTTAAAGTGATAGAAACGCCGGCACAACACGATAAGGTAAGGCTCACTCCATTACCGAAGGGAGGGAGAGAGCGAGAGCGGCGTCACACCGAGCGAATAAATGCCGTGCTTGCTAGTTACGTTTGTAAAAACAACACTCGCCCAGTCAGTTGCTGTTAGGGCTTGAGAATGCGGCGAGTGAGAATCAAAGTGTGCTGTTTTTCGGTATACAGTCAGAGCTCTTGTATAATTCGAAAACTCGAAGAAATAGGGTAGGAAAGCTATGCGCTGCTAGCAGTTTACTAAAGCGGCTTCACGCGCAAGACTTGGGATTGGGTGGGTTCACCTTCGCTGTCTCACATTCATGCGCTCCCCTTTCACGGCAAAATGACGAGGAAAGCGCCTGGATATCCCTAGTTCCACAATCCATAACTCCCTTCAATATCATCTAATCGGAAAATTTCAAACACTGTTGTGAACTACAGGAACTGCTTTATCTATCCTTCGTGAAGTGGCTTAAATTTGTTCAGTCCGTGGACGGTGGATCCGGTTCAAATTGAGGACTAAATGACAAACGCAGGAAAGCGCACGAAGTCCGTCCCTTTGAAAAGTCACAATTTCTTCATTCTCGTCAAGTCCGGAACATTTAAACACATTTGTACACTACAGAAACTGCTCTATTCATCTGTAATGGCTTGTCGAAGTTGGGAGACCCGTGCGCTTTCCTTATCAAAATCGACCATGGAACCCCAACTTCGCCGCACAGGCGTTTTTCGCCAAACTAAACGAATTAGGCCATTTTAGAAAAGCTTATAGATAGAGCAGTGCCTGTAGATTACAAGTGCGTTTAAACTGTTCCAGTTTCGAAGCTGACAGGCTTATATAGAAAAGAGGGATGGTAATACTGGTCCGAGAGAGAGTTAGGGGTAAGACATCTGCGCTTTTCCCACGTCAAAAATGACCACTGGAACCCAACTTGTGTCGCACAGAGCCCTTTTCGCCAGAACAAGAATGAGATCAAGCCAATGTGAATTTTCATTAAATGACAAGATTGGCTTGCTTCGGAACTCGGTGTGAAAGTAATATCCGTACGATTTGCCTCTATTATTAGGAAACAAATCGCTTCATTTTCCGTACGCGAGTTGTGCAGTATGGTTTAGTCCATATTCTTTTTCTCTATGGGGGCGTTAGATCCTGCGTCCGTCGCAGGTCCGCTTCTATGTATCAAATCGTCGCCAGCTTTCTCCCCCCGCTCTGTCTAAGGCGCTCTGCTGTGGTCGTGACTTCACTTACGTAGTTCCTTCTGTAACGTCTCTCCACCTCGCCTTCGAGATTCACAGAAGCTGCCTTGCGCTTTAAAGTCTACCACTTCCTTATCGAACCGCTCTTCGGTCTCCTTAGCACATGTCCATACCATCGGAGACATTGTTCGCGCTCCCCAGCTGGAAAGGGGCAGTCTGCATGACCGCCCCGACATCATTCATTTCAGACTAGTCCAGCAGCGTCCAGCCACAGGCCCACATCAGCATCCTAATCTCAGCGGAGCAGCTTCTTTCGTGATTCTTGCTCAGTGTTCAGTGGCCAGCACTCACTGGAGGAGGGAGGGGAGGGGAGTGGTGAACCAATATTTTATGTACGTTTACTGGTGCGAAGGTGCTATACATAAAGTCTACCTCAAGCGAGTTGGCTCTTGAGGGGCACTTGACTGATTTAAAGGACGCAGTCCGTAGACGGGAGGGGGACGGAACTCGTCCATCTGACCATCTCCTGTAGTCTTTAGTATTATTTTAGGCAAGCCGGACGAGCTCTAAAGGGCTGCATGAGATTATGCCGTTTTGTGCCATTGAAACACAATCAACGACCTTGTTTTTGTTTGTTAACTGCTGTTTTTGGCCGCAGTTCGCCTTGCGAATGTTTCACAAGAATGCTGGGTTGTGAACAAAACTTTCGCCCCAGACGGGACTCGAACCCGCACCTTTTCTTCTGAAACAATCAACTACGACTGAATACATTTTATATGCAATAAATGATCTCTATAAATACATTTATATAATATTAACAGTTCAAATACATCTTCAAAGTGAATTAATATCGATGCATTGGTTTTTTGCAAACAAAATTATGAAGCGGAATGGCAACGAATCCAGCAAAATTCACACCAATTGAATCGCCCAGTGAAGCCACTGACAGCGAAAATTCTCGAACATCTGGCGAAACCTGTAAGAAACAGTGACAATTCTCAAAATATCGCCAGAAAATCACGATAGGCCTGAACTCCTGCAAGAGAAACTGAAGAGCATGAAAGGGCCGATCTCATCTCGCAAGAAAATATTTTAACAGAAAATGATTTCAAAATGAAATGGAAGGAAGAAAGGAATGAGTAAAAACGATGATTCACTCACCATTTTATGTATTTTATTGAAAGTATTCACGTAAGCAGAACCACCCAGTAGTCCCTCAAAAATGATAAGCCCAAAGATGATAGCGATACTTGGCGTGAACCAGTAGATTGCTTCAAAAAGAAAGAGAAGAAATTGGTAGCCTGGAAACAAATCGCAACATCGGATGGGCCGCATCTCTGCTTAGGTCGCTTCTCATTCGATGAGATAATGTTTCTCAGAACCTCTCAGACCATGTGATTAATGAGGCCTTTCTCAAAACATTAGCTCGTCGCTATTCCTGGTTTTTTCTTAATAAGGAGATAACCGATCCAAATAGTGGTATTGCTGTAGTATTCGCCGGATAATGCCCCTCCTTTATTTGAATTTGAATGGATAGTGTTTCTTTCTGCTGTTGGCATTTTACCTCCAGCAGAGCTATTAGATGGTATAACTTTCAAATTGCGTGAACACTTCCTCAAGAGTTATGACGACGATTTGCGAAGGGTTTCTACTACTCGTCGCAACCGTCGATTGAACAAATAACTCGATTGACAAAAATTGGTATCGATATTGTACATGTACATGAAGCATAAAACTGATGCTTTCCCGATAAATGGCTCTTCAAATACCAAAAAAGGTCGAAATGAGGCGTGCCATGCAAGAAGAAACGGCTAGTGACAATATATCAGCAGTCCGATAAGATGTCAGAAGTGAGCTTTTCAGCTTTCGGAGCTCTTGCCCGCCCACTTTTTCCGGATGTGGAAAGGGTGGCAACGTCTGTGTGTACGTGTACGAGTTAAACTTCGTCGAAGGTCTATGCATTAAAAGCGTAGCAGGCTGAAGATTAGTCGAGTATAAAGCTGTTCAGCGGGTAAGACACTACATGAATCAACAGCTGTCGAAGGAAGAGGGCTACACGCGGCTTACATTGTGACTCTGCCCGAAAAAATGACTCTTTATGAACTGCAATTTGAATTTTGAGATGGTACATTCACCTGTAGCACAGGGAGGAGAAACAGTGACCATGTAGGTAACTCAAAGACCTTCACCGATGATCTCGAAATAAACACTCCTAGTTGGTAAAGTACCTGTAAAACAAAGATTTCTTAGAACGGGATCAAAATGTTTCGAATTGTAATTGTGCACTCAAGACAATGTATTAGAAGTACGTATGGAATGGCACAAGGCAAGACAGACGTTTGCGCGGTCATTGAGATCGACTTCCACATTAGGCCGACGTCATAGTTTGCGAATCGCTGGATCCGAGCGTTGCGCCAGCGAATCGAACGATGCACCAGCGAGTCGAACTATGTACCAGCGACTCAATAGTGGCGGGACCCAACGTTCAAAGGAAGCCCGCCACTTTCAAACAGTGTCACGTGACAGTGGACGCTGTTTGAAAGTGGCGGGCTTCCTTTGAACGTTGGGTCCCGCCACTATTGAGTCGCTGGTACCTAGTTCGACTCGCTGGTGCAACGTTCGATTCGCTGGCGCAACGCTCGGATCCAGCGATTCGCTAGCGAATCGCTCGATTCGCAAACTATGACATCGGCCTTACCATTAGGCGATGTCAGACTTTGCGAATCGCGCGATTCGCTAGCGTCTGCGGTCGCGTAGCAGCGAGCAAGCCGCTCCATTAGCGGGTACCACAACCCTAGGGGGCCCTATCACCACATCTAGAAAATCGGAACATGACTGTTCTGCGGGTAAATAAAAGCTGAACTGAGCTTTTCTCACACTGAAACACACGCGAAAATCTACTTTTTCGGAAGTTTCTATATAACCAGGTTTTCCTGATAACATCTCGTCTTTGTTGTCATATTTTATCGAATTCACGGAAGCACTTGCCTGATACCACCGATATTGAGCGTTGTAGTTAAGATGAAAGCCTTCGGAGCAGTTGAAAATAATTAGTTGAGACTAAATTAAACACTATAAAATGAGAAAGAAAAAAAAGAATTGAGCTAGTTAACGAGTCAAGAAGTAATGCTTACCACTCCTTGGTTTATCAGATACTCTCCAACGTAGACTAGTGAAAGCGGAATCATCAAGTGAAGCAGGGGCTGGAATTCAAGGTGTACGATGCTTGTGTTTCTGTGTAACGGGGACGAAAACAATAAACCGAGTCGGTAAGATCGACTACGGGCTTGACTATAAGCAATAGTTATGTATGGTGCGAAGGTGCAATGATATTTTCCCCAGTCATTGGGGATCGAGTCTACTACTTCAAGCTTGTACCGATACAGACCCTGCCCCCGACAGCTGTTTGACGAAATTTTGCAAATCAATGAGAAGACGTTTGCATCGGTAGATAAAGTCACCATCAGAGCAGCGCTAACATTCTAAGCGCAGAAAGCTAAGCCTTATAGAGTTTATTGGTGTCATTCATGGTCTCTCTTAAATGTTTTTTTTTGTTTTGAAAAATTACTTACGCAAATAATGCTTGAATTTGAGGGAATGTGAGATGCCTCTGCGGTACTCTGAGGTTAGAAGAATCAGCTTTGCTAGATTCACTGATTCTGTCCACCTTATCCGGAGTGTATATGCCTCGCCCAGCCTGGAATAGCATGAAAGATCTTATTGAATTATTGCGCACATGAAAATCGTGCGTTGATATGCATCCGCAAATCACAACTGTGTAAAGTATGCCCAGTTTTGTGATCGTCTTCTGGTATATAACACAGCAGCAATATAAAGCACAAGTTAAAGGTACATCGCATGTGGTAAGTGTGCCTAATAATGAAAGCAGAGGTGCGAAGTGGGCTGAAAGTGAAGAACAAGCGTTGAAGATAGTATTCTAAGGCGGAATTTACGCTGGAAAGGCTGCCCTTAAGTCAAGGGATGGTCAAGATAAGAAAGAAGGAAAAACCATGAGAAACGGCCCAGAACCCGAGAAATGGGACCCTTCCTTGCTGATGATGCATTGATGCGACTCTCATCGTGCCCTCTTCAACGCTAACGCTCTCTCTGCTATGTCGGTGGGCGTACCGCGCCAACTGCGCCAAGAGAGCCATGCTAGATCGCCGAGGTCAAATTTTCGCTGCCAATTGCGCGTCGGTCCGCACCCTCAGGAGGTCCGCCTATCTCCCAACTGGGCAATTTTCCCCTTCTTTGACCTTCGTTTTTATCGTGGAATGGAATATGTAGAAGGAATCTTTCCCGGAAAAATCATGATTCTATCTCACCCATAAATCACTGGCTTGAGACCCATCATTCACGATAAGAACGAAAAGAACAGAAAAATTGCATTTGTTTTGGTAAACAATTCGAAAAACGGAAAGGACTGCTACGCATTCGAATTGCTGCACAAATGCTGGCGGCGGGAATGCTTCCACTTGGTTCACGGAGTGCTGTCACTAGAAACTCTTTTTGACCTTTGACTTATTGCATTACATCTCACACTTCTACTGCATCCTATTCTATCGATCGATTTGTCTCTACTCTCCAAAATCGCACGCTTTAACCCGATTCTTTCATTGCGTCGCCTGATACGTAGCCGCCCCAAGGCGGACTTCTTTCCATGCCCGCCTTTGGCTCCGCGCCACTTACCTTCGATTGTCCATAGAGTGTGGTTTTGTAAGTTTGTTTCTCTTCGGAAACTGAATCTTCATGCGTGAAACTTTGTGTGTTGTCTCTAGTGATCACAACTACATGTTGGAAAAGAATGCAAGAATTTTCCGAGGAGGATTCCTTTAACACTGGACACGCCCCCTTCTTTTTCAGAAACATTCCATCCTGCTATGCAATAGGGGTGTTCGCTCAAGTTTTCCGAACTGATGATCCAATGCTTTCTTCATGCCGGCATACACAGGAATTGGTTTCATGCAATATGAATTATGAGTCCAGCCGATTCTGCTATTGAGCAGTCGCGAGCACAGGCAGCTTTTAGAAAGGCCCTTCGCCCACCTTATCGGATTACAGCATAAAATATTTCAGCAGATTTGCATGATTTTAAGAAATGCGACAAATACTTATGTCGCAGCCCAATAATTTCGAAATTCATAGCTTCATCGAGATTCAAAAAATGGTTCACTTTCTTCTTTATTTGCTATTGCTCTTATTTCAACACAAGCCTGGATTAGCGACCTAACAACAATATATAGGATGTGTCCGTGGGAAATAATGAATTTGTCAGCAGCATTGGTGACCCTTGAAAACGAATGTGAATGAGAAGCTCTCACTAACTACACATTAATGAGAATAATGGATTGATGCAACATCTCATATCGTGTAAGAGGTTGATAACGAGGGAGAGCGTGGTCGGTCTGGGCAACGCAACTAACATAGGTTATTCCCGGGCGGGCCAAAGTAGATGCCTCTTTGATCTAAACACGAACCCAGGGCGTAAGACCCAGACCCAAGCAGT